TGCATCAATCACATGGAATAAGGTTTCTGCTTGGAGCTCGCCAATAGTTAGCTTTGCCCGAATCATGCCGATAGCTCTCTGTCCTCCTTGGTTAAAACCTTGAATAATAAGACGGCTACGCGATAACTCGTCAATTGTGATGCCAAGATTTTTCATCGTAAATTTTGGCATTAGATTCACCGCCGAGCCACCATCAACAACAATACGAGTAACTCTTCGTTCTTTTATGTAACCGGAGACGAAGAGAGGACAATTGTGCGGCTTCGAACCCAACTGAAGATCCTCGTCCGTGAAAACAATTGGTGCACAACATGACTCAAACGTACCTCTGACCACTTCATCATCATCAGATTTTTCAATGATGGCTGTATTATGGTTCTCTATAGCCTGGACTTCATCTTGATCCTCGTTCTTCTCATCATTAAGGCTTGTTTTCTTAGTTGAAACCATGTAAGTTGTTTCAACTTCATCATTTAGGTATCCTTTTGGAAAGAACTCTTGCAAAGTAATAGGCTTCTGACTCTTTTTGCTTATAGAGGTGTGTTTAGTTGACTGTGTCTTCTTGACCCATTTTCTGTTATGGCCAGACTGTTTATGGTGATATTGGGGTTTCTTCTTCCTTTGCCCTCTGTCAGAATAATTAGTCTGAAAAATATCAGCTTGTTGCTTCCGTGGTTTCTTTCTTGTCACCAGAGTCCATCCTTCTTCATCATCCTGAGGAAAAACCCTTCCAAATGTTGAAATGTCACGTACACTCCCATGGCCAATATAGATTGGGATTGGTTCCAATGAACCAAACTAGATAGTTGTGCAAGATACCTCCGATGTTAAAGGTTGAGAACGAGCACTCCCCACGACAGAGGTTGTCAAAGTAGCAGTAGTATGATTTGAAGTTATAACTTCGTCTGTATCCAACAAGATTTTTCCTTATTTTGCCAGATTCATCACCACCTCCTTAAAGATAAAACACTTCTCAATTGGATGACTGATAATGCGATGATATTTGCAGTATTTTGGATCGTTGATACGTCCCATCTCTGGAGGACGTTTGCATTTAGGGAGTTCTATAACTTTACTTTCAAGTAAACATTCCAAGATGCCAGGAACATCGGAATCGGGGAAGGGGTATTCTTTCTTCTCTAACTCCTTTAGCGTAGGACGCTGTCTCTCCCTCTCTTGAAACTGGCGAGGCTTTTTATCATCCTTCTTGTCATCTTTAACAGATATCTTAATTAGGGTGGTTGAGATAGCCATTGAATCTTTAGCCGCATTTTTTGATGACTTGTCGCCCTTCTTCCAGTCCTTCTTAGCTTTGCGTGGTTCTATAGTCATGGGACTTTTGCCGTCATGGGATTTCATACTGATCTCCATGTCATGGGCACGCGTAGCCAATTCCTCAAATGTGCGAGGTTTTATGCCTTGCAGAATGTAGAGCAGGCCCCAATGCATTCCCTGCATACACATCTCCACAGCAGATACTTCTGACAAACGGTCCTTGCAGTCAAGACTGAGGGCTCTCCACCGATTAATGTAGTCGATTACAGGCTCATCCTTCCATTGCTTCGTGTTAGTCAACTCTATCATACTAACAGTACGACGAGTGCTATAGAACCTGTTCAAGAATTCTCGTTCCATCTGGTCCCAACTATCAATTGATTCTGACTTTAGGTCAGTGTACCAATCGAACGCGTTTCCTTTAAGGGACCGGACAAACTGTTTGACTAGTAAGTCCCCCTCTGTTCTGGCATTGTTACAAGTCACGACAAAATGGGCAATGTGTTGCTTGGGGTTACCTTTTCCGTCAAATTGCTGAATCTTCGGAGGTTGTTATCCTACATGCATTCTCATACTGTCGATTCTCCTTGTATAGGGCTTTAAGTACATGAGAGTGCTCTGTGAGACACCACCATATTGAGCTCGGATTGTATTCGTTATCATATCTTGCAATTGTTCGACAGATAATGAAGAGACTGAAGAAGAGGTATGATTGGTTTGACCAGTCGCCTGTTCTATCCCCGGCGTCTGGTTTTGACTGGTCGCTTGTTCTGTCACCGGCGTCTATTTGGGATTCTCCCTGTGAGTACCTTGTGCTGTAGAATTAGGATTCTCCGTTAGTATTGCTGTGGAAGATGTAGGTTTCCCAGATGGTGGTGGTGTGAAAGTTGCACGATTCCCGGATGGCATTGGTGTTTCACCGAAGGTCTGAACTTCCAATTTATTCATTAGTGTAGCGATTTGCAAGTCCTTTTCTTCAATAGTCTTTGTGAGGTTCTCAATGGAATGAGCCATAGTTGCTAGTTGTTCCTCCACCGTAGCAGCTCCAGTCATCATAGCAGCAACCACATCTGAGTATGATAGGCCTTAAGAATCCACGTTCCTTGAAGTGATTGATTGCTCCGAAGTCTGAAGTGGTGACTCTGGGGGTGAACCGACACTAGATTGAGCATCATAGATAGAACGAAGTGAATCTGGTGGTGGAGCCTCCTCTGGAACAATGTCAAGGTTTTTGACATGTTGAGTTTTCACGTTCGCCGGTGTTGCAGGATTAGTTTTCACCACATCTTGCTGAAGTTTGAATGACGCCATCGCCTGGGACTTGCTACGTGTCACAGGGCCCGTCAAGGGACTTCCATCGCTTAATTTGGTCTTCGTGCCACTTTTCATGGTGGCTTTAGCGTCGACCTTTGCAATAGCGATGTTCTTTTGGGCTTTCTTGTCTGTCTGAATCTTAGGGGGAGCCATCGAATCTGATAGAGAAGAAACTTGATGGTAGGAGAAAGAGATGAGAGGCAAAGGTAGTCCCACCGGGCGTGCCACAAATTTGTACACACAAATTTTGTAAGTCTGCAATAGAAACAAAATATGGAGCAAAATAGAATTTTATTAATTTATGAATGTGGAGTACAGTCCTTTGTAATATCTTTTACAAAAAAAGAATGATCCTCTGATTCGATCTCCTTGTTTTTGGTTGGTTGGATCCAAGGGCTTGAATCACTGTGGAATTTGATGAAGAACGGCACGTTGTTGGATGTGCTTGATGTTCTTTCCTTTTGGGTTTTGATTCTGAATTTGTGTCTGAATTCTGAGTCTCTGGATTTCTGAGTCTCTGAACTTCTGAATTCTGAATTTGTGTCTGAATTTGTAGACTTCTGAATTCTGAATCCTCTCCCCTTTTTCTTCCTCCAAGCCTCTATTTATAGGCTTCTTGGATTAATAGGATGATGACACGTGTCATCTCTTGATAAGGATAAAACTATAACTGGGTCGGGCCGGTTATATTGTGATAATTATCCTTAAAGATAATTATTCAAAATATATTTTATTAGGAATAATTATCGTTTCATTTAATTATCTGGGCTGGGCTAATTAAATAATTTAAGTGGACCAAGCCTGGTAAATTAAATAATTTATTTAAACATTAAGCTTATATTTAATGGGTCCATTCGTTAAAACCAAAACCCACTAAATTTTAGTGTCTACATTGACATTCATTCCTTCGAATCAGTCCATTGAGCAGAGAGATTCCAAACTTCCCCTAAGGGTGAAATATTGCTTTGTTCTTTGTGTACAAGCAAGATAGCTCAAGATACATATAAATATATGTATATATATACATATATATTATAGTAATATATATACACAGCATAATATGAGAAGCTAGACCTACAACTCTTATTATTGTGTTGTGTAAAAACTTGTTGAAGTTTATGTGTCACTAAAATAGGGTAAGTTGATATGCTACATATAAATAGAAATTGTAGTTGATCAATTTCAGAGGTTAACAAGCAATTGCCTTGGAAAGTATATGTGGATGTTGAGGGTGATTTTTTTGGACTCATACCTGGAAATTCAGTGGCCCAAGCTTTAGTCATTTGGCGCTATCAGTCAACCATGGCGACTTGGAATTAATGGTCTACTAGGCCCACTCGAAAGGAAAGAAAAAAAAATTGCAAACTTGATAATTTTTCCAAAGGAAAATGATAAGGGGCTGAAGAATAACTCCCGAAAAACGATCGAATCTAACGTGGCTAAGTCATGTCAAATTCTTTAAAATCTCTTGTGCGCGAGAGTAAAAGAGTCATCACGTGCTTAGCTCACCCCAAAAATAAATTGAATAAAAAAATTGTTTGAAAAGAATACGAGGAAGGTGATGGAGCCATGGACACTGTGAAGATGACCGAAAGAAGGTGGGTATATACAAATAAATATATATATATATATATATATATATATATATATATATATATATATATACACACACACAATTACATATATGTTGGTAATAGATCATAAATATTCAAAGATTTTTTTTCTACAAATTTCTCAATAGATTTAAGTATTACTCAATGATTTTATTTTAAGAATTACATGATTATTTTGTATTCGAATCACGCAAAAAAATTCAGGAGTATTCACAACATCACTCTTTGATTCGAGATTGGCTCTCTCTATCTAAGATTTTGAATCAGTGTTCTTCTCCAGCAGCTATTCAATCGGTACAGTGATTTAATTTGATGTATTTAGTGAGTGTAAATTCTAAAATATACCAATTATGAAAAAAAAAAAAAAATACTAAAATATACTACATAACAAGATAAAGATAAGTAAATTCCTTAAAAATAAAAAAATAAAGATTAGCTCTCTTTAATTGGAGACTTCTAAATTTTCCAGTATTCCTTTTCACGATATACAATCACCTTCCCACCTTCCTTTTATTTATTTCTTTCTTTCTTCCTTTTACTTATACATGATGGGCTCTTTTGCTCCCCCAACCCACGTCAAGTTCGGTGTTTAATCGGGAATATCTTTCTGGTCCCTATAACTGCTCTTTTCCAAATGTGACATCATAGTTTGGCTTTTTATTGGTTTAGTTTCTGGATCACTCAAAAAGTCTAATCTATTTGAATATCTATATACATTCTTCAAAAACACCCATATAATATAGCGTAGCTCTGAGAATCTCCATTAATTCTCAGAAAAAGTAGAGAGGGAATTTTAAAATGGCGATTGAGTTAATGGTATTGGTATTAGTGTGGTTAACAGAAGCAGCAGCATCATCATCATCCGCATTATCTGTAGCAAAGCCTGGTTGCAATGACACATGCGGAAACGTGACCATTCCTTACCCATTTGGGTTTGTAGCCGGTTGCTATGCCAACCACCACTTCTCAATAACTTGCAACTACCCTTTCAATCCACCCAAACCTTACCTCACTACCTACAACCTTGAGGTGCTTGAAATTGATACTTCATCACGATGGTTCAGTACCGTTGTCGTCCTTTATCCAGTGCTTGCTTCTGATTGTCAAAATTGGACTAATGCTCATGGACTTGTGAAATTGTCCAGTCCTTTTTGGTTCTCTCGACGGTTTAATTATTTCACGGGGGAAGGTTGTGACAAGCAGGCCTTAATGAGGGGCCACGGAGGAAAACTTTTAGGTGGATGCATATCAAGCTGCAGGGACAAGGTGGATTTAAATAATGGAGGAATCTGTCAGGCCAGACTCCCTCCATCACTCAGCTTCATCAATGCATCTCTAAGCAGCGTTAATACTGATTCCAAGAATAATGCTGATCTTGAAAAAGAATGCCATTATGCCTTCATCTCGGACCACGAATGGGACTACTATAACTCCACAGATCAACATGCCATGCAAGTAACGGGGCGTGTTCCTGCTGTGCTGGATTGGGACACACAAGGAGAGTGCGAGTCTTTTAGCAGCATATCCGCGTCTTCTAATGAAAACAGCATGCGCCGGCCATTATGCAAAGCAAAGCATTCACGCTGCAGAGAAACAAGAAATGATTAGAACATTAATACTCCTACTTACGGATGCTCTTGTAATTTTGGCTATAAAGGAAACCCGTATCTGTTATATGGATGTCAAGGTATACATATACATATTTTATATTTTTATGTCCTCGGCCTCCAAACATACATATATAGATCCTAGCTCACAGCCTCACATCTATGCACACACAAATGATCAATCTGCAATTATACTGAAAACATATCTATCCAACTATTTGCCCAATACGTACTGAAACATGTCTTAAGCCTTGCATACTCAAACCACTTTGTGAATTGTGATATATTTGTGTCATACGAATTAGTAGGCTAACTATTTTTGTTTGTTTTGTACTTAATTATTATGTATTCATGACTGTGCAGGATCTTCCGCGGACAACAAGTTTTAATGATCATAGGTATGCCCCTTCTTTCACACAAACGCACAAACACCCTGACTGAGTCAATACAATTGTTGTACCAAATTAAGACCTGTAGGGGTCCTTTTTTAATCAAACAATAAATAATAATATAAATGTGATATCAGAAACAAAATACGAAGGAATAAATGGAGTAAGAGGAGGAGAAGAAGACCAAGTGGTCAAGATTCAGATGGGGGTAGGGTTAATACACAATTCTTATGACAGCTCCTTCTTCTGAGAGTTGGTTATTCTTTCATAAAACAATACTATTTATAGGCCCTGATTTCATTGGTTGTTATCCAATGGTCTCTTCTATGCATGGTTGTTCACGTGCATTACCTCCAATCCGGATTTTGTGGATAATCTAGGAGGTTTAAGAGACTGAGGGGTCTAATCCCCTCATCGAGCCTTGCATTACATTGCCATGTCAATTCTTCCTTAATCAATAGCATTAAATGTTGCTTGGCCGCCGGTTGTTGAACCTGACACAGCATTAAATGTGATTTTAAGGTACGCTGTCATAATGTGTATAATCCCATCATCTTGCTAATTGGGCCTTGCTAGGAGCGAAGGCACTTCTTGACTTCTCACCCACCAATCCAAAATCCTCCTAAGTTTCCCAAATTCAGGTTCTTTATAGCTGCAAAGATCCTACCCTCTCTTCGTGCTATGTGCGAGTCTTTCCAGCGAGTCCCTTAGGGCTCTGCTCCTTCGCGATGATATTATTTGATAGCGAGACTCTTAGAGCTCTGTCTCATCGTGATGATATTATTGGCGAGGGCCTAGAACGCTCGAGGATTGGTTTTCTCGAGGATTAATTTCTCGAGGCTCGATGGGTCCGGTTTGATGCCAGGGCTTAGAGTGCTCGAGGATTAATTTCTCGAGGCTCGGTGGGCCTGGTTTGATGCCAGGGCTTAGAGTGCTCGAGGATTGATTTCTTGAGGCTCGACGGGCCTGGTTTGACACCAGGGCTTAGAGTGCTCGAGGATTAATCTTTTCGAGGCTTGATGGGCCTGGTTTGATGCCAAGGCTTAGAGTGCTCGAGGATAGATTTCTCGAGGCTCGATGGGCCTGGTTTGACACCAGGGCTTTGAGTGCTCGAGGATTGACATCTCAAGGCTTGATGGGCCTGGTTAGATGCCAGCGCTTAGAGTGCTCGAGGGTTGACTTCTCGAGGCTTGATGGGCCTTGTTTGATGCCAGGGCTTAAAATGCTCGAGGGTTGACTTCTCGAGGCTTGATGGGCCTGGTTTGATGCCAGGGCTTAGAGTGCTCGAGGATTGACTTCCCGAGGCTTGATGGGCCTAGTTTGATGCCAGGGCTTAAGTGCTCGAGGATTGACCTCTCGAGGCTTTCGGGGCCTAGCTTGTTGTTAGGATTTCAGAATGTTCAAGGGTAGACCTCTTAAAACTTTTGACTTTTCAAATTGCCACGGGGGACTTATTTGGGTTTGTGTTGACTTGTCCACATGCCATGTCAGCTTTTAATAAGTGACACCCACAAGACCAAAACAGATGACTTTAATTCCAGAACATAATTTTTATGTAAATATTGAATTTGGTCCTGCAATAGAGAAATGTGGTCCAGAATATATTGAAGAAAATGAGAAAGAACACTATTTCCTCCTAAATTCCCAAATTATTTGTCTTTCAATTTTGAGATCTTCTAAAATAAATGTCTCTTTCAAAACTCTTAATTTCCTAAATTTTGAAAATTTTCAAACTTAATAATGTATATCTTTAAATTTTTTCAGAGGCTAGTTTAAGGGTTTTAAATCGAGCCATGCATTAAATTCAATTATCAGATGTTTTGGTTGATAAAGTGACTTGTTTTGGTTGATAAAGTGACCTTTTCGAACTGAGCTTTGCAGGTATTACTACAGGTGTAATTGGAATACTACTTCTACTTGGTGCTACATGGTGCTACATGGTGGTTGTACAAATTTGTGAAGAGGAGAAAGGAACTCATGCTCAAAGAAAAATTCTTTAAAACAAAATGGGGGTCTATTATTGCAACAACAATTATCTTCGGGTGATGAAGGTAATGTTGAGAAAAAGAAGTTGTTTACTTCAAAGGAATTGGAAAAGGCCATTGACCATTTTAATGATAATCGAATCCTTGGTCAAGGAGGGCAAGGTACTATATACAAAGGAATGCTGGCTAATGGTAGAATTGTAGCAGTTAAAAAGTCCAAGATAGTGGATGAAGGCAATCTTGAACACTTTATTAATGAGGTTGTTATTTTATCACAAATTAACCATAGGAATGTGGTTAAGCTGCATGGGTGTTGTTTAGAGGTAGAAGTTCCCTTGCTGATTTATGAATACATCCCCAATGGAACCCTTTACCAGTATATCCATGACCAAAATGAAGAGTTTCCACTTACCTGGGATATTCGTGTTCGGATTGTTGATAAGCGCCGAATATTGCATATTCAAGCGCTCTTAATTGCATTATTTAAGTCCATTGTTTGTTTAATTATGTAGATTACCTTCATATGCATGTTTTTGCATATTTTCAAGTTCATTGGCCAAAAAGAAGCAAGAAGGATGCTTTGTGGAGTTTTGAACATCAAAGGTCACAATGCTGAATTTCTGGCAGCAGTGAAACCTGACTTTTGTCACCATTTTTGACCTAGAAAACTCAAGAACTGGACTTCCCTCATAACATGACATATTTAGATCTCTGAATCAGCTTTCCAAATCTTCAAGCGGTTCATCATTCAGAGTTCGGAGCAGAGAGTTATGATCTTCTTATTAGAGGTGCTCAGAACTGCCTGGCAGCAATGAAAGTCTGTCTTGTTCTTCAATTTCGACCAACCAGACTTGAGAATTGGATCTCCACAAAAACATAAATTTTTTAGAGCTCTGAATTATCTTTCCAAATCATCAAACTTTTTATCATTCGGAGTTCGGAGCACAAAGTTATAGCTATTTTACCAAAGTAGGTCCGGGCGAAGCAAAGCAAGCGTGGAGCAATCTGCTCCATTTTTGAGTGCTCGAGGCCCTATTTCGAGCACTCGAGATTCAGGCAGAATGCAGCTCAGGACTCCTCATTTTTAGCCACTTGCTTCATTGGTTTCCTCAATTTGAATCTCCCTCTTTTATGAAGTGGTTGGCAATGTTTTTGGAGGAGGGAGAGGACTTTGTTGAAATATATTAGGCAACCAAAGGCCACACATATGCTATCATTCATTCTTACAAGATTAGAGGAGAGAGAAGAGAGCAAGGAAGAAGGTGTTCTTGAGTGCTATAGTAGGAGCTCGAAAATGGAGATGGATTATTCTTCTTCTTCTTCTATTTTTGTATCAATGGAGAGCTAAACCTCCATCTAGGGAGGTGATGAAGCCTCCCCTTTTGTTCATGTTCTAGATTAGGTTCTATTTTGGGGATTATAATGTATAAACTTTGGTCTTTTCATAGTTTAAGAGCTTATTACTTCTTGTAATGAATATTCATGTTTAAATGATTGATATGAGTTATTTAGCTTGTCTTGATGATTCTTACATTAGTCTTATTGCTTGCATTATCATAGTGACAATGGGAATCAAACTATAATTTGTTTTCAAGGCATGTTGTTAGAAAAATGGATAGTCCATTGCTTAGGAATTTCCTTTGATGGGTTATGCTAGTTTCCTACCTCATGTGCTTTATCATTTGGTTATAAACTAGATAGTTCTTGCTTGAGTGAATATGTTGAGGGCTACACTTTAGTTTAGGTAGCTCAAATGTATGAATTTTTGAGGGATTATTCTTGTTTAATGATTTAATGAACTTTTCCAAGAGTGTATGGTAACATAGTGTTGCTATATATTCCATGACCATTTTATACATTGTACCTCCCCAAATTTAGACCTAATCTAGAATGTACTTAGGGTGTAGTGTGGATTCATCTCCCTAGTCTTTTCTACTTGTATCTCACTTCTTCAATTTCATTGCAATCTATTGTTTTATGCATTTTAATTTCTTAGTTTAGTGACAAACACACAAACCCTTTATAAACCCCTCATCACTCTAAAATGACTTTAGATACTTAGGTTGCCTTAAGACTATCGCAGTCTCAGTGGTTCGACTTACCCGTCCAATAGCCCTATTTTACAATGATTCGTGCTATTGCGAAGAGGGTTGATTTATAATTGATTTCGACCGTCGATCAATTTTTGGCGCCGTTGTCGGGGACGGCAAACGGTTTAGCGACCAAGGTTCTAGGGTTAATTTTAGTTTGATTGTTAATATTGTGTCTTGTGAATATTCCTTGTGTGTTTTGATCATCTTCGTGTTGTAAGATTCTAGGGACTCGAAGCTCGCCGTGGGATTGCTAGCAAAGCGTAAGTCTAGAGGACCCCAGGTAGGTTTCTTGACCTTTTAGTTTCACATTGTAAGATATCGTGCATGTGTTAAGCTTAACAGTAGTTATTTATTTGCAAGCCCTTGTTGAGGCTATATTATTGTTTTAATTCTGTGTATAAGCATCGGTCCTTGTCGTGGCCATTTATTTTCTGTCTTGATAATTGAGGAGAAAGGGAACATCGTATGTGGAGTTGTGGATAATGAATTGCTTTGTTGATTATATGCTGTGCTGTTGATGTTCGGTCGTAGGTCACTCTCTCTACCCACAATAGATTCGCCCATTGATATCAATTCTCTTGAAAGAACTCTTAGAAGAAACCTTAGGGAATCTACTCTTACAAGGGATCTTGAAACTGAATTTAATATAGGAAATCCGGGTAATGAAAGGGCTGAAATTCCTAATGTAGAACCAATGACTCTTAGAGATCATTTCAACCCTACCACCTATACTTCTCCTTCTTGCATAGTAATGCCAAACATCAATGCAGCTCAATATGAGATCAAATCAAGCACCATCCAAATGCTTCCATCATTTCATGGCTTTGATAATGAGGATCCATATAAGCATCTTGATGAGTTCCTTGAAATCTGTTGTACCACCGGTTGAGAGGATTTCCTGAAAATGCACTCCACTTACATCTTTTCCCATTCTCCCTAAAGGATAGGGCAAACTATTGGTTGAACTCCCTCGCTCCCAATTCCATTACTTCTTGGGCCCAATTGCAATAAGAATTCCTTAAGAAGTATTATCCGGTGAGTAAAACCAACCAAATGAGGCGTTCCATTCTAAGCTTTTCTCAAATTGAGGGAGAACAACTCCATGAGACTTGGGAAAGGCTACAAGATCTTCTTCGGAAATGTCCTCATCATTTGATCCCAAAATGGCAATTAGTGCAAGCTTTCTATGCCGGCTTGACCGAAACCCATAGATTCATGGTTGATTCTTCTTGTAGTGGGATGTTCATGTCCAAGAATGCAGATAAGGCTTGGACCCTACTTGAGAATTTAAGCGAAAATTCACTTCAACATAATTCTCGTAGGGCTCCGACATCCACCATTGTAAAGAACACCAACCTTTGTCAACCAAAATCAATAAGGGAGGAATCATCTCAAGTGGATGCCATCGCTCATAAATTCTACCAATTGATGGCACCACATCTTCCTCCTTCATTGTCTCAAAATTCGGCAAGTTCGATTTGTGCTTCATATACTAGTCCATTCCATCTCTCGGAAGATTACCCCACACCGGAGCAATTTTCCAATCCCAACCAAGAGCAAGCTAATGCCATGTTCTCAAGGCCCGGGCATAACCCGTATTCCAATACATATAATCCGGGTTGGAGGGACCATCCGAATTTTTCGTGGAGGCAACAAGCCCCACAAAATTCCCAATTTCAAAATCAAGGGCCTCAAAATCAGCCCTCTTCTCAATATCAAGGTAGGCCTTTCCAAGCCTTTTCAAGCTACCGTCCTCCTTACAATCCAAATGTTTCCAACTAACCTCCTGTGTGTCCAACTGACGAGATAGTAGCTGCAAACAAGCAAATGATGGAATCATTAAATAAGCAAATAATGGATTCCAACAAGCAACTCTTGACATCCTTGCAGCCTACTCTCCAAATGGTTCACTCTCATACTCAATCCATAACTAATCTCGAAAATCAAGTGGGCCAAATAGCTAACTCGGTGAATCAATTGCTTCAAAAGGACAAGGGCAAGCTTCCCTCTCAACCTTTTGAAAATCCTAGAGGAATGCATGTGATTGATGAAACCCCTCCTCCGAGTGGGCCGACTCATGAACAAGTTCAAGCTATCACCACCCTTCGGAGTGGTAGAGTGGTTGACAACAAGGTTGATGGAGACACAAGTGAGAAAAACCCTCCTTTGAAAAATCCAAATTTAAGCTCTTCTTGTCCAAATACCATTCTTTGAAAGCCCACTCATGTCACCCCAAATGTGGAAACTTCTTATGAGCCAAAAACTCCGTTTCCTCAACGTCTCCAAGAGTTGACACATTTTGGGAATAAGAATTGCAAAATTCAAGACATGTGGGAAGTTTTCAAGCAAGTAAAGATCAACTTGCCCCTCTTGGATGTGATCAAGCAAATCCCTCCCTATGCAAAATTTCTCAAGGATTTGTGCACTCAAAAGCGCACTTCTAAAAATTATTTGCCAAAGAAAGTGAGACTAACTGAGAATGTGAGTGCAATCATTCAACATAGTGCTCCTCCAAAGTATAAGGATCCAGGCGCCCCAACTATCTCGTGTGTCATTGGTGACAACAAGATAGAAAGGGCCCTCCTTGACTTGGGTGCTAGTGTCAATTTGATTCCATACTCGGTTTACCTACAACTTGGGTTGGGAGATCTTAAGCTGACATCCGTGGTTTTGCAACTTACCGATAGATCGGTCAAGCATCCACGAGGCATTCTTGAGGATGTTATTTTCAAAGTGGACAAATTCTACTTCCCAGTAGACTTTGTGGTTCTTGATACGGAACCGGTCCATGACCCAAAAAAGCACATTCCCGTGATCCTTGGTAGGCCATTTTTAGCCACGGCTAATGCATTAATTAATTGTCAAACCGGGGTGATGGACATTGCTTTCGGAAACGTGCAAGTCAAACTCCATATCTTTCATGCAACTCAACATCCCTCCAATGAGGATGATTGTTTTCTTGTGGATGTCATAGATGAAGTGGTTGAAGAATCTTTCCCCTTCATTCTAAGCAAGGACCCCCTTGACACTTGCATGTCCCATTTCGACTTCTCAAACTTTGACATTGATCAATCCATTCAAGAAGTCAATTCTTTGCTTGATGTTAGTGCTATCATGGACATTCCTCCTTGGAAAATTCCAAAAGAACCACTTCCCCAACTTTCCACTACTCCTCAGGTCCCATCATTGATATCCCCGCCTCAACTTGAGCTTAAGCCGCTCCTGGCCTATCTCAAGTATGAGTTCCTTGGTCTAAAGCAAACTCTTCCGGTCATAATTGCCTCGGACCTTCAAAAAGGCCAAGAGACTAACCTTTTAGCGGTGCTCCAAGAGCATAAAGA